TACCGTATTTCTAGGCTCGACCTGTAATGGAGGCAGCTCTGAAAGTTTGACAATGGGCGTGCGTGGTTAATGAGCATGATGAAGAGGACTATAAAATGGTGGACCTAGTAGGAAGAGGCACCACAAATATAGGTGGAGAATGTCATGTACGATGCGGGTGGGGCAGTTACAAACCAGAGAAGACGTAAGTCTAAAGAATGACCATGCACTTGTACTAAATGGTATAACCCATCAAAGTAAATTAGACACAATTAAATAAAATAAGTTCCAACCTAAAGAAATTATATACAATAGATGAACTACAACAAACAACTAAAATAAGTTCAAAACAACGAAATAAGACTTAGCAAGGATAAATATCATTCCCCACATAGATAGTCCTACTAGAATAGTTCTTAATATGAAGTATGCCTCCCAAAATCAAATGTCTAAAAATAAATATTATCAAAACATCCATGGCTGCTGCCGTTGACCCATAAGATCATCATCAATAGTTTGATGTGGTTGTTGTTCTGGTTGCATCTGTGATGTGTGTTCCTATGCTTGAAGCTGGTGTGAGCTAATTAGATCATTCGCATGGGAATCCATCATTTGGTGCAAACCCTTTGTGGATGAAGCACTTCAACCTGCCATCCACGAGCTCTTTTGATTGTGTATGCCATTGGCACAAAGCATATTGAGCTTAAGAAGTTTGAAACTCTGCATCTCAGATTGCAACTGATGATTTAGATCTGTATGATATGAAGAATAGTGATCCCATGTTATAGAATTATTTGATGATATAAGTTTATAAATAAGAAGGAAAAAATACTAGGAACATGGACGAAATAGGCTCATCAAGGAGACAAAAGACATCACTACCAACATTTGTAGTTGCTTATTGAGTATGAACCTTTGAACCAGGGAGCAAATGTCCAATCAATGAAGAACCCTTACATACATTATTACAACGTTGAATGATAGATTAATTGCAGATCTTATGATCAACATTTCTAATATAGGGAGTAAGCAGATCAAAGTGTACAGGTCATTATTCACATATTTTTCAATTATATATCAAAGAATATTAAAGTCGATATGACACTCAGCATATTACGTTTCAAACACATAATTCAAAGTTTTACACACATTAATTCACCACATGTGTGTGATGTCAAACATGTGAAGCAAACAGATGCCACACAGTCTGGCAGTGTTAGCGCTATATCATTTGAATTTACTAATAAGTCTATCACTTCAAGCTGATCAAGGGAGATTAAAAATAACTTGATTTCAAAAAAAAGGATAAACAGTAACACATCGGCTAAAATATATATAGTTCTAAAAATATTGTAACTTACTTTTGTAAGTATCTATGACCCAATAATATTAATCTGTGTTGTCCATATATGCCCCCTCCCCTTAATCCTTTGACATATTGAAGGGCTGTTGATCTTTGTAGAAAACTTGAAATAGAGTTTGTTGAATTGTTGTTGCCATTATGTTGTGGGCAATGCAACAAACGATAGTATTTTATAAATGATTAATGCAAAAAATGTAATAGCCATTATAACAAAAAAATTTGCAACACACACAACTACGAATTGGAAAATCTAAAAATACTAGCCACAAAACGATGGCACAATTAAATGTATGACAAACATTTTGAACATCCAAGAAAATACGCACGGAGAGATTGCTCAACCTTATACCCATGCGTCTATCTAGTTTTTTGCTGTGTTGGAGCTCCAAGTATAGGGAAGGATAGATTGAGACTCAAGGAAATGTCCCATTTTTTTCTATACACAACACTCTTCAGAACCTTATATACGTGCAATCCAAAAACTAAACGAGTTGAGGAGGACAGTCGTCCATCATGGATTTATCAACTTAAAGAACTCGAAACTATTGAATTGTATAATTTTTTGCAAAGCATGCATACCATCATCTAACACACTACAAGATCTAAACTTAAATGAATTAACCCTTGACTACAAGGCAACAACAAACAAGCTCACCTTGTTTCAAATTTTGCTTGCTCATTCAGCCCCTTTAACTTTATTTGCACCTCGCAGTTCTCTGTCCTGAGGTTATCAAGCATCTCCTAGATAGACAAATAATATAAATGTCAACCACTTACATCATCGCTCCAGAAATTATGTTATTTCTCCTGGATGTTGTGGTCGGCACACAACTATAGTACAAACCTGCTGCGACTGCACTTGTGGAGATAATGACCTGCACTACATCTTTAGTGCATCAGCCCGGCGCTGAAGATCTTGGATGTGGTTTGCTTTTTGCACCTACTGCTGTGCTGCGTATTCCCGGTTACAGAGAATCCTGTAATTTTATAGAAGAATTGAAATGGAGGAAATTAAGAACATCAGAAGCAAAACTAAAAGGTTGAGCACTTTGATGAATATATACCCCACATGCATGGCCACTACAAAACTGAACATGAGATATTGGAAATCCATGAACGAACGTACTTCTTGACCATCTTAGGATCTGTTTTGCGAGATCCTTGAGTCGATTGTCCATATTGATCGTCTCCATGTCAGCTTCAGAGAAGAAGTGCTCCTTGGTGCAGGCCCTTTGCGACATGTTGCTGCTAGCGCTAGCTCCAAGAGCTGGTGACCGTGGTGGCAACCCAGGTTTGTCCATATACCCCCAAGTATCTGCTTTGGCACGGTGGGGACAAGGGCAGTGTAGTTTTCCACAAATAAGGATCTGTAGTTCTATGGCATTTTTGCCCCAGTACTACTGCTGTAGCCACCAATGCTCATTATGTCAAACTTGTTGGCCAACGCCAGCATGGCTGCCCAACTGCCTGTGACGCTGCTCCCCATGCTCTTGTCGCAGCTGCTGCTCACAGTAGATGACCACAGAGATAGCAGGTCTCTCAGCTATTGTAGCGCGCTTGCTCCTCCGACTAGGAATACATGGGCATGGAACCATTACAGTTCCAGGGAATGCTGCTACTGCTTGGAAGACCATACTATGTAAGTGTGCTAATGGCGACAGACCATACTACCGTATTTCTAGGCTCGGCTGTAATGGAGGCAGCTCTGAGTCCGACAATGGCTGTGCGTGGTTAGCTGAGCATGATGAAGAGGACTATAAAATGGTGGACCTAGTAGGAAGAGGCACCACAAATATAGGTGGAGAAATGCTGCGATGCCGCTGGCGGCGGTTACAACCCTGAGATGACGTAAGTCTAAAGAATGACCATGCACTAGGATAAATGCAATAACCCATCAAAGTAAATTAGACACAATTAAATAAAATAAGTTCCAACCTAAAGAAATTATATACAATAGATGAACTACAATAAACAACTGAAATAAGTTCAAAACAACGAAATAAGACTTAGCAAGGATAAATATCATTCCCACACATAGATAGTCCTACTAGAATAGTTCTTAATATGAAGTATGCCTCTCAAAATCAAATGTCTAAAAATAAATATTATCAAAACTTCCATGGCTGCTGCCGTTGACCCATAAGATTGTCATCAATAGTTTGATGTGGTTGTTGTTCTGGCTGCATCTATGATGTGTGTTCCTGTGCTTGAAGCTGGTGTGAGCTAATTAGATCATTTGCATGGGAATCCATCATTTGGTGCAAACCCTTTGTGGATGAAGCACTTCAACCTGCCATCCACGAGCTCTTTTGATTGTGTATGCCATTGGCACAAAGCATATTGAGCTTAAGAAGTTTGAAACTCTGCATCTCAGATTGCAACTGATGATTTAGATCTGTATGATATGAAGAATAGTGATCCCATGTTATAGAATTATTTGATGATATAAGTTTATAAATAAGAAGGAAAAAATACTAGGAACATGGACGAAATAGGCTCATCAAGGAGACAAAAGACATCACTACCAACATTTGTAGTTGCTTATTGAGTATGAACCTTTGAACCAGGGAGCAAATGTCCAATCAATGAAGAACCCTTACATACATTATTACAACGTTGAATGATAGATTAATTGCAGATCTTATGATCAACATTTCTAATATAGGGAGTAAGCAGATCAAAGTGTATAGGTCATTATTCACATATTTTTCAATTATATATCAAAGAATATTAAAGTCGATATGACACTCAGCATATTACGTTTCAAACACATAATTCAAAGTTTTACACACATTAATTCACCACATGTGTGTGATGTCAAACATGTGAAGCAAACAGATGCCACACAGTCTAGCAGTGTTAGCGCTATATCATTTGAATTTACTAATAAGTCTATCACTTCAAGCTGATCAAGGGAGATTAAAAATAACATGATTTCAAAAAAAAGGATAAACAGTAACACATCGGCTAAAATATATATAGTTCTAAAAATATTGTAACTTACTTTTGTAAGTATCTATGACCCAATAATATTAATCTGTGTTGTCCATATATGCCCCCTCCCCCTTAATCCTTTGACATATTGAAGGGCTGTTGATCTTTGTAGAAAACTTGAAATAGAGTTTGTTGAATTGTTGTTGCCATTATGTTGTGGGCAATGCAACAAACGATAGTATTTTATAAATGATTAATGCAAAAAATGTAATAGCCATTATAACAAAAAAATTTGCAACACACACAACTACGAATTGGAAAATCTAAAAATACTAGCCACAAAACGATGGCACAATTAAATGTATGACAAACATTTTGAACATCCAAGAAAATACGCACGGAGAGATTGCTCAACCTTATACCCATGCGTCTATCTAGTTTTTTGCTGTGTTGGAGCTCCAAGTATAGGGAAGGATAGATTGAGACTCAAGGAAATGTCCCATTTTTTTCTATACACAACACTCTGCAGAACCTTATATACGTGCAATCCAAAAACTAAACGAGTTGAGGAGGACAGTCGTCCATCATGGATTTATCAACTTAAAGAACTCGAAACTATTGAATTGTATAATTTTTTGCAAAGCATGCATACCATCATCTAACACACTACAAGATCTAAACTTAAATGAATTAACCCTTGACTACAAGGCAACAACAAACAAGCTCACCTTGTTTCAAATTTTGCTTGCTCATTCAGCCCCTTTAACTTTATTTGCACCTCGCAGTTCTCTGTCCTGAGGTTATCAAGCATCTCCTAGATAGACAAATAATATAAATGTCAACCACTTACATCATCGCTCCAGAAATTATGTTATTTCTCCTGGATGTTGTGGTCGGCACACAACTATAGTACAAACCTGCTGCGACTGCACTTGTGGAGATAATGACCTGCACTACATCTTTAGTGCATTAGCCCAATTTGAAGATCTTGGATGTGGTTTGCTTTTTGCACCCATCTTGTGTTGCGTATTCCCGATTCTGAGAGAATCCTATAATTTTATAGAAGAATTGAAATGGAGGAAATTAAGAACATCAGAAGCAAAACTAAAAGGTTGAGCACTTTGATGAATATATACCCCACATGCATGGCCACTACAAAACTAAACATGAGATATTGGAAATCCATGAACGAACGTACTTCTTGACCATCTTAGGATCTGTTTTCGCGAGATCCTTGAGTCGATTGTCCATATTGATCGTCTCCATGTCAGCTTCAGAGAAGAAGTGCTCCTTGGTGCAGGGCCTTTGCGACATGTTGTTGCTAGCGCTAGCTCCAAGAGTGGTGACCGTGGTGGCAACCCAGGTTTGTCCATATACCCCCCAAGTATCTGCTTTGCACGGTGGGGACAAAGGCGGTGTAGTTTTCCACAAATAAGGATCTGTAGTTCTATGGCATTTTTGCCCCAAGATTACTACTCTTGTAGCCACCAATGCTCATTATGTCAAACTTGTTGGCTAACGCCAACATGGCCTTAATCGCACCGTGACATTGCTCCCCATGCTCTTGTCGCAGCTTTGCGCCACATGAGATGACCACAGAGATAGCAGGTCTCTCAGCTATTGTAGCGCGCTTGCTCCTCCGACTGGGAATACATGGGCATGGAACCATTACAGTTCTAGGGAATGCTGCTACTGCTTGGAAGACCATACTAAGTAAGTGTGCTAATGGCGACAGACCATACTACCGTATTTCTAGGCTCGACTGTAATGGAGGCAGCTCACGAGTCCGACAATGGATGTGTGCGTGGTTAGCTGAGCATGATGAAGAGGACTATAAAATGGTGGACCTAGTAGGAAGAGGCACCACAAATATAGGTGGAGAAATCTTTGATGATGTCACCGGGCGTAGTTACAACCCAGAGATGACGTAAGTCTAAAGAATGACCATGCACTAGGATAAATGCAATAACCCATCAAAGTAAATTAGACACAATTAAATAAAATAAGTTCCAACCTAAAGAAATTATATACAATAGATGAACTACAATAAACAACTGAAATAAGTTCAAAACAACGAAATAAGACTTAGCAAGGATAAATATCATTCCCACACATAGATAGTCCTACTAGAATAGTTCTTAATATGAAGTATGCCTCTCAAAATCAAATGTCTAAAAATAAATATTATCAAAACTTCCATGGCTGCTGCCGTTGACCCATAAGATTGTCATCAATAGTTTGATGTGGTTGTTGTTCTGGCTGCATCTATGATGTGTGTTCCTGTGCTTGAAGCTGGTGTGAGCTAATTAGATCATTTGCATGGGAATCCATCATTTGGTGCAAACCCTTTGTGGATGAAGCACTTCAACCTGCCATCCACGAGCTCTTTTGATTGTGTATGCCATTGGCACAAAGCATATTGAGCTTAAGAAGTTTGAAACTCTGCATCTCAGATTGCAACTGATGATTTAGATCTGTATGATATGAAGAATAGTGATCCCATGTTATAGAATTATTTGATGATATAAGTTTATAAATAAGAAGGAAAAAATACTAGGAACATGGACGAAATAGGCTCATCAAGGAGACAAAAGACATCACTACCAACATTTGTAGTTGCTTATTGAGTATGAACCTTTGAACCAGGGAGCAAATGTCCAATCAATGAAGAACCCTTACATACATTATTACAACATTGAATGATAGATTAATTGCAGATCTTATGATCAACATTTCTAATATAGGGAGTAAGCAGATCAAAGTGTATAGGTCATTATTCACATATTTTTCAATTATATATCAAAGAATATTAAAGTCAATATGACACTCAGCATATTACGTTTCAAACACATAATTCAAAGTTTTACACACATTAATTCACCACATGTGTGTGATGTCAAACATGTGAAGCAAACAGATGCCACACAGTCTGGCAGTGTTAGCGCTATATCATTTGAATTTACTAATAAGTCTATCACTTCAAGCTGATCAAGGGAGATTAAAAATAACTTGATTTCAAAAAAAAGGATAAACAGTAATGGAGTTGTAGTTCCTGGGCGTCCCCGGTCGGTTGCTTCCAGTCGGCTCTGATCGCGCCAGTCGGAGAAGAGTAGTGAGCAGGGGTTTACCGCATCCCCGGTTGGAGATGCGGGTCAGAGTTAGAAGCGGCGTTTGGCTAGGCCTTCTGGCTAGAGAGGCCATCCGGAAGCGGGCTGGAGACCGAAGCGAGCGCCCCAGTCGAAGAGGTGGGCCAGAGCCAGAAAACGGACGTCGTTCCTCCTCGGCCAGACCTTCCGATCGGTGATTGGATTGCTTCTGGACTGTCGTTTAGATACTTTGGGCCATCCCATGAGTTGCATGCTGTATGCTTGGGCCAAGCCTTTGTTTGGGAAGCCGGTCCACGAGGCGCACAATGTTTATGAACCCGACAGGAGCCCCCGAGACCCTGGGCGATTCGGGTAGAATCGTCTGAGAGATTTTTGTCTTGATGGCGGGTGCGCGCGAGCGTGCCTGTGGGTGTATCCCCCGAGCCCCCAGGCGATTCGGGCAAAATTGTCTGGGGGTGTATTCGTGTTGTCAGCGGGGGAAGTTCTGTTTCGTCAACAGGTGCACGCGAGTGCACCCATGGGTGTAGCCCCCAAGCCCTAGGGCGATTCTGGCAGAATAGTCCGGGGGGTTTTGTTAGCGGGCGGGTGTGCGTGTTTTTTAGTCAAGATGGAGTCGTTTAACCTAGGCGTCATTGTGCAGCCGAGGCGGTTTTAGTTTTAGGGATCCGGCGAGACGGAGCTCGTGGATCCTAGCGTCGGTGCACGCCGTGGGATCGAGTTAGTTTAGTTTTTAGGGAGCGGACGAGATGGAGCTTGTGATCCTGGTGTCGATGCACGCTGTGGGATAGAGCGAGTCAGGGTTGTGGATCCTAGCATCGGTGCACGTCGTGCAGCCGAGGCAGTTAGTTTAGGGACCAGACAAGACAGAGCTCGCGGATCCTGGCGTCGGTGTGCGCCATGGGATCGAGAGAGTCGGGGTCATGGATCCTGGTGTTGGTGCATGCTGTGCAGCCGAGGCTGTTACTTTAGGGATTAGACAAGATGGAGCTCGTGGATCCTGGCATCGGTGCGCGCCGTGGGATCGGGCGAGTCGGGGTCATGGATCCTAGCGTCGGTGCGCGCCGTGCAGTCGAGGCAGTTAGTTTAGGGATCGAACGAGACAGAGCTCACGGATCCTAGCGTTAGTGCGCACCATGGGATTGGGCGAGTTAGAGTCGTGGATCCTAGCGTGGATACAGTCCCGTGCAGCCGAGGCAGTTAGTTTTAGGGATCGGACGAGACGGAGCTCGCTGATCCTAGAGTCGGTGCGCGTCGTGGGATCGGGCGAGTCGGAGTTCGTGGATCTTGATGGGGCGAGTTTGGGGTCACATACCTAGGCGTTTGGTGTGCAGTCGAAGCGTAGCCGAGGGATGGGGCGAGTTGGGGTCGTAGACCTAGGCATTTGGTGTACAGTCGAAGCGTAGCCGAGGGATGGGGTGAGTTCGGGGTCGCAGACCCAGGCGTTTGGTGTGCAGTCGAAGCGTAGCCGAGGGATGGGGCGAGTTCGGGATCGCAGACCTAGGCATTTGGTGTACACTCAAAGTGTAGCCGTATCTTGAGCCCCTAAGCCCCGTTGGGCCTTGGTAGGGGTCAGTTTTTGAGTTGTGTGCGTTACCCCATCCTCGGTTTCTCATAACCGAAGGAGCTGAGTTTTGTCGCTTGCCTCGTTCGCTCGGGCTTGAGTGATGCACTTGGTGAGCTCGCTAACGGGTATGATCGAGTGGAATCCGGGTCCATCGTTCATGATGGGGTCGACATAGCCCTCTTGTGACATTCCACTGCTCCATTACCTGCAACCCGGCAGATGCCTGGGTCGTTTTGAACACCGATGGAGATTCTATGGGCTTGGCGAGAGGTTTAGGATCAAACAAGAAGGTTGAGATGACCCTGTCTGCTTTGGGGCAGACTGGGCGAGGGCCACACGGGGCTCATCTGCATTTTCTCCCCTGGCTCTGTTTGACATGGGGTGGCCTCGAGCCCTTCGTGGGCCAGCCTTTGAACCCCTATCGGTTGTTGCTCATGTTGAATGAGGCAACTGCCGCTTTGTGACGCAACATGGAGCGTTGTGATGCATTTCGCTACACGTGCGATGGCTTAGTTCTCGAGCCCCCGGGCGATTCAGGGCCCTAATTGTCTAGGGGCACAAGCATTTGAAATGAATGCGTGTATGGATGTATGAAATGATTATAAAGAAATAGCGGGTTCGGTAGTGTTACCTTGATGACTCGAGTGGCGGGGTTCGAAGAGCTCCAATCGAAAACATCCAACGGGACCCGTGCTCATCATTCATGACGAAGTCGGCATGGCCTATATGGGGGCGTCCCTTTGCTCCTTACCTATCTCTCGGCGTGTTTTTCTGAGCCGTTCGATCAACTTAGGAAGCCCGATGGTCTCTCCTGGCGGAGATCCCATTGTTTGGGTTTTTCCATGTCCCGCCTGGGGAGTCGGAGAGCCGCCTGTGCGTGGTGACGCTTTGGTTTTTATGCCCGGCGTGCGATAGTGATGGGCCATACCCAGGCCATGTTCTGTCTTACCAGGCATTGTTCCGTCTGACCAGGAGTCGTTCCCTCGGTCAGTGTGCGTCCCATCGGTTAGGATGCGTCCCATTGTTTCCCATCCGCATTGAATGGGGGAAGGGAGAGAGTTTTTTGCTCTGATCTTTTGCCCCTCTTTAGCTGTCGCATTTCCTTATGAAATAGGGGGAGGGAGAGGGCTTCTGTAACACCCTAAAATTTGCATGTTTTCAAAATAGTTAAAATTGATTTAAATATGCATTTTGTGAGCATTTAACATAGGCTAAATAAATAGTTTTGTGAAATTGAAATATAATATAAGGTTAGATACATGTGTGTGCACTCATGCTGCTGCATATTTTCTGTTGTGTTGATTGGTTTTGACTAAAGATGAAAAAGAGTTCAAAATCTCTTGAAAATGAATTTGAAAAGCCTTGAAAAATTCAGTTTCAGAAAAAGGAAAACTTCTTCCTCTCTCTTGTTTTTCGGCCTGCTGGCCACTTTTCTTGCTCGGCTGGAGGCAGCCCGAGCCGCTTCGCTGGCCCATTATCTCAGCCTGCCCTCTCCCTCTCTCTGGCTGCCATCATGGTCCCGTGCCATCTATCGATGATGAGGAGGTCCCACGCGTCAGCATCGTCTCCCACATCCAGCCGAAGCCGAGCGGGACTTGTTCCGGGTCCACAGCCACGCTCGTATCTTCCGCGGATTGTGGCGT